CATGAACATGCATGTGTGTGTGTGTGTATGCGTGGCCGCACGCAGGTACGCACCTGCTCACGGATGCACGGATGACTGCCCCACACACACACTTCCCCCACCCCTGCACACACGCACCCCTGCCCATCCGCCTGCCCCTTGCATGCACAGGCTGAAGTGAATGGGCCGGATAATATGGTAAGGCGGGCCAGATGTGGCCCACACGTCGTAGTTTGGAGACCCCTGCACTAGATCATGATTTTATATGTATCTAAGGCTTTTATATATGTAGGTTTGTAACCTAAGAATCATTCTGCAGGGAGTCTGTTTCTCTTCCCACTTGTGTGATCTGTGTGACTAATTCTAGAAAGGACTGTTTTATTTAGAATAGTGTTTGTTTTTCATGTACATACTTCTGAAAAGGAGTATGGAAATTGTCACAATTCTGCCACACGTCAAACTCCTGTTTCTTCTTCACCCCACAGGACACCTCATAATATTAAGAATAATAAATATAAAATGAGGACCCAAACGTTTAAGGAAGGCAAATGAATGTAACATGGAATTGGAGAGCTGGAAGACTGTATGCCTTCCTGGATAAGAAATGACTAGCAACAGCAGTTTGTGTATTGGTAATCTCAAAAACAGACCTCTCTAAAGTGGAACTTGAGTCATGGCAACTGAACTCCTTGTTAGGCTGAAAAGTTTTGCTACTCATCCAAGTAGCTTCTTCAGTCTGAGGAGAGTTGGTAGGAGATTCCTGATATATCCTCCATGTTGGTTTTATTTACTTCCAATGTAGAGGAAATATCAGGTGTCTCCTACTAACTCTCCTCAGACTGAAGAAGCTACTTGGATGAGTAGCGAAACGTTTCAACCTAACAGTTGCCATGACTCAGCTTCCAGATAACCTGACTGAGAATCTTCACAGAGACCTCTTTAATGTTCTCTACATAGGGCTACTCTTGAAAACTATGCTGCCTTCAGCAGGTCAAAATGTGGCAGACAGACTGATTGCTGGGACTAGTACATTTGATCACGAGTCTTGCACACCTTCATTAGCTCCCTGTCAGTTTCCATGCTCAGTTCAAGCTGCAGGTTATTATGACTTATAAAACCCTTAATGGTTTAGGATCGCAATACTTACTGGAACAATTTTCCTAGAAATCCTCTAACTGTTCAAACCCATTCTTCTCAAATCATGCTGTTAAAAGTGCCCACACTGAGGGATGCCAAAAAGGTGAATACAAGGGATCTCACTTTTTTAGTTGTGTCTCCTAGTCTCTGGAACATAATGCCAACAGAGATAACCCAGGCTCCTTCTCTCCACATCTTTAGAAAAGTGACAAAGGCTGAATTATTTAAAGCTGCCTTTAATAATTGAATCTCCTGGATGCTTGTTTTTTTTAACTACTTGTAAATGTTATTGATATTTATTTAGTTAGTTATTGTCTCTTGATCACTGTATTGTTTTGAATTTTTTATTGTTGTTATTGTGGTGTTTTGAGGGTTTTACATTTTAATCTTGTAAACTGCCCTGAATAGTGCTTCTGCTAATAGGGTGAGATATAAAATGGCTGGCTGGCTGGATGGATGAGATATTATGGAAGCCATCACCCCCAACCCTCTGCTCATTGTAGGCTCTACAATCAAAGATACAAATTCAGATGTCTGTCCAACCTCTTCTTAAATACCTTCATTGAAGACGAATTCACCATTTCCTGTGGACAGCCTACTCTGATCATGTTTAGTTGAACATTTAAAACTAGTTCCTTCAATTCCACCCCTCCCCCATGTTCTAGTCCTGGTTTCTGAAATGACAGAGGACAAGTCTACCCCTCACTTCTGCATAACGGCTATACATAACATTTGAAGACAACTGTCATCATTGCTCACCATCTGTCATTCTCCAGGTTTAAGCATACCGTTGTTTCAACCATTCCTCATAGAACTTGGTGTAAAGGTTCCTAAGCACCATGGTTGGCCTTCTCAGAACATACCATCTCTTTAGGTCTCAAAAAGCTGGTGCAGTAAAAACAAGGAGAATTAAGCTAAATCAATCAGTAGTTTGACTTAGTACAAAGAAGCTTTTTGGATTCAGTAATCCAACTACTCAGAGAACCAGTGACTGGTGTAGTGGATAGTTCTGGACTAGGACTTGAAAGATTCGTACCTCTGCTCAACTGTAGAAACTTATTGCAGGGGTGGCAACAGTAAACCATTCCTTTAACTTCTCACACATCCCAAGCACTATTAGGATAGCTATGCAGATGTAATTTGATGGTACACAACAACAATAAGAATCTAGCTACTGGTCCTACCATTCATATGTAGTTACTGAAAGTGTGCTGTCTTTAGATTTAAGCCCATACAACTAGTCTGTCAGAAATGCACTTCCACACCCTCTCCTCTGACAACAGCCCCTCTGGCTCTCTTGAAAGACTTGACTACATAGAAGATTTGATTACTCTGATGAGGATGTGGTGGGAGAGGAGGAATCTTAAAAAGTGGAGGAGAGGGAAAGAACATTCTGACTAGAGGCCTTCTGCATCAGCTTCCCTGGTCCTGCTATTGTAACTTGCGTTTCTGCATGTTATTGTCTGGTTGTGGAAGGCTATTCTCAGGTCCAAACCAGTACATGTTACATCCTTTCTGATGTCGGATAATTGCTGCCCTGGTTAATATAGTTTGCACTGGATCTTTGTACTGATTGCAGCAGACTTTTACTTTCTTTGGGTGGGTGTGTCATTTTAACTTAAACCTTTTGGGAACAGAAACACGGAATGTTAGAAAATGAAGTTTTCCCAGGGGATTCCATATATGACCCTTCCACTTGCTTCCCATACACTGCTGCCATCATGAGCTACTTTCCCCATTCTTTCTACCCCTGCAGAGATATTATTTGGGAGCACTTGGTTTTGTCCCATTGTTCATGCTAAGCAGCTCGGGAGCACTGCAGGCCAATACATGCACATCTTTGCCCTCCCCATGGGATGAACTGGAGATAAGGACAATGTATAGATAAATAAACAAAACTAACCCCCCCACACACACACACACACAAACCAGCCTAAAAGCATGTTGTACTATTAAGGCTCTCTGTGTGATCTTGTCTTTGTCTCTTTTCTGACTCTTCTGATGCAAGCCCTTAAGCTAGACAAAATATTCAAACAGCCAGCCATGTATAGAGATTTTAAAGCACAGTTTCTTAGCAAGGACAACATACATGGAACATCCTTCCTCTCCTTTCTAACCTTGAAGAACCACATATTTCTCTTCTCTGCTGTGTTTCCTCTGTCCCTCATGAATGCCATAAATGAAGACACAATTTTTTAATCCTGTATAACTGCCTATGATTTATGTAGGACTTTAATGTACTTGAAAGCTGAAAAAGCAATTAAAATAGATGTGAGAGGATGGGTTTTCCCCCTTCCAATTTTAAAAAAATAAAACCACCCAAACGTTGGTGCTTATATTTAAAAAAAACATTAGCAATTTATGCATAGTTAAATCTGTTCTTTGTTTTCATGAGATCTGCTGTTAAAAAATGACAAAATCTTTTAACCTGAAATATTTGAACAAAATTGTTTTCTTTCCAACTGTTTATCCAGGTGTTTCAATGTGAAATATGTTAATGAAGAGATTTTAAATAATGACTAAGATAAGAATGATTTCTCATCAACATCTTTCTTCAGGCTTATTTATAGCTCCAGCCAGGTCTAAAATTTTCCAAGAGGAGCAATACAACTCAGATCAGAATTAACTGCAGGAAGATTTTTGGTCTGTAATAACACTAAATTGATGACAACAACGATGTCAACTATGCTGCATAAATCTTCTGATTTCCTTTTTGCTTCTGGGTTCTCATCTCTACCTTCAAACCTTTCATGAACCTGTTGCTCCGATCCTGTTTCTTTTTCCATCCTGATACATCTCTTCACCAACCCATGTCTACGGTCCTCAGTTGTCAGAAGTCTAAATGAAATTGCTAATTCCATCTACAGTATGCTCATTGAAGCAGGTACTGAATGGTAAATCAATATTTGTGTGAACTGGTTAAATGGGCATGCTCTAGTTAGGACTTGAAACAGGGGTCAGTACTAAAAGTTTACTTCTTCTTCTCTACTACCAGTTTTGCCTAGAACTGTAGTGTAGAGCATCTCTCCGAGTTTGACTCTTATACACTCCAGTAACTCCACCTCTGAATCTACCTTTTCTATTGAAAACTTCAATTATCTTCTAGACCCAATATCCCTTTTAATTAAGGTCCAAACTGGATATAATATTCATAATTGAATCAAATTATTTGTCTTTTTAATGTAATTAGCAGTCATTGTAAAGTCTGAATAAGCTAAGGAGAAGGAGGAAAAGAGAAGTTTAATTGGACTTGTTCCAATCCAATTTGAACCTAAATCTGACCTAAAATGTGAAAACACAAATCACAACGCTTCCTCTTGACTTGCATTGGGAAAACAAAATAGCCATGATGTTTTGATTTATTTTTCACACTGAATAAATGAAATTTGGAGGCATGAGATAATCGTTGCTAAATCCCAGATTGGCATGACTTTCTTTTGTTAAAAGGTACCTTAAAATGTGCTTTAACATGTTTATGTGCTGCTTTTTGTGCAATGGTAGCATTCATGATATATGTGTATTATACACTAAAACCTATTATGTGCGTTTGTAACTATGACACATGCACACTACAAGCAGACAAACAGGAGATTAAAGGTAAAGGCAAACCAAACACACTAAATACACAGTAACTTTTCATGTACAAGTAAAACACATACATCAGAAACTGAAATAAAAAACTAAATCTAAAAATCTAATCCAATTGTAAAAAGTAGAGTCAAAATGGGAGGTGGAAAAGAGAGGAATACGGTAATGAGTGCCTACTTCAAGAACAATACTGAGAACAACACACCTATTCAAATGAACATCAAATATAATAATAACCAAGTGTTGTCAAGTCAATTTTGACTTATGAAAACCTTTTTCAGGTAGAGAATAGTCAGAAGTAGTTTTACCATTCTTTCTCTGGGGGAGACCTGGGACTGTGCAGCTTGCCCTTGGCCAAACAGCCTGCCTCTACTAGCAGGAGGCACAGCGGGGAATCAAATTCCCAGTCACTGGCTACACAGTCAGATCCTTCAACTACTGAGCTATCCAGCTAGCTACGGTAGGTACAAAGAATATGGGACTGGATAGGGAAGGGATAAGGAATAAAGGATGACGAGAAACAAACTAGAAGAAATAGGAAATGGGTGCCAAACTCCAAAAAAGCTCATTCAAAATGGTTCCTAACATGAGCTATCAAAAGAGAACAAGAATGGGGGAGAGAAGTGATTACACAGGCCAATATTGTGTACCCTGTTTCATGTGGAACAGTCTGTGGTGTTGCACACTGTTCCTCTTTTGGCATTACTTGCACAAAAGGGAACTCACAAACCTCTTGTGCTGCCATAAAGTTCCATTGTACTTAACACAGAGATTTCCAGCTTGTTTGTCTGCAAGTTGGAGGCTACCAGGACAAATGCAGAGTTCTCGGTGTGGAGCTGTTATCCTCTGCATTTGTGAGTAAGATTCTGCCCTTTGCCATAATCACCTTCGTGTTTTTCAAAGAGTATGATTAAACAGTGCCAGTGAGATTCTTGCCTTCTAGGAAGAGAGAACTGTTAATGGGAGAAAAAAATTCTAGGCCCGCTCCCTCTGTCCTGTTCCTTATATGGTACTGTTTTGCAATCATTTGGAAACATATTGTTTGACTTTTACAGACAAGTAACGTGCAGGTAGCCAAAGCATTCGACATCCCTTCAAACAAGCCTGAGCTGATTTGGACCTGATTTGAATCAATCCAAATCAGCTCAATGCATTTCAACATTTCGGATTTGCCCATTCTGATTACACACCTGTACTAAACCAAATCATGCAGGTGAACGAAATTAATGCCATGTCTCCTTGGTCTCTGTACTCCAAGACTGGAAAGATAAATTCTCACAACTCATTATTCAGTGGTCAAAGGATCCTACCGTTTTAACGAGGAATATAAATGTATCTTTCAGACGGCAAATTCAATCAAATTTTGAGGGGAACATATGATCCTCTCATATTAATGTAGACTTCTTTCCCCCCCCCTTTTTTTGGTACCTGCAATTAGAAATATTAAAAATAAATACTAACATTGAATTGAACCTGAAGGCTACATGTAGTAATTCTGAGAGCTGTAGTTTAAAAATGTGATGTTCCCAAGCTCTGATGAATCCCTTGGGGCAGAGGCCTAAAGCAGAATCTGGGGGAAATGGTTATGCCAACCGTTCCTTACTCTGAATCAATGAAACATTCAACCCTTTGTTCACCCTGTTGCTAGAAAGCAGTCAATAACAACAGCAGTAAAACAAATGTTGTGCTTGATCTTATGAATGGATCTGGTTCATGCTTTTCAGGATGTTCATGTTTTTGCCAGCACTGAGACCAGGTTACTGACCATTGCTGATGATCACCCTTGCTCCCTCCATAGTTACATATGAAGTTGATGCCACATAGCAATCTGCTTCCTGGGGTTCCTCAGCATCTCTTCCCAGTGATTCCTCTCTGGGCCAGTGGCATGCAGGCCAAGGCTGCACCTGCCCAGTAAATGGTTTTGCCCATCGCCATTCTGGCTTAGCATCTCCAGTTCTACACTGGAGGCACAGAGCAAATCATGGGGCACCTCAAACATAATCATCTCATTCCAGACTGGGTTGATCTTGTGCTTCGCACGCTTTGTCTGCTTCTTCTTAAGTTTCAGGGCTTGGTGCTTCAGTGTCACTTTTACAGATATATCTGCAGGAAAAGGGAAAAGTTTGTCACACAGTGTTGGCATCAACATTCAGATATCAGCATTCTCTGGCATTTCCTCCTGGAGGAAAATGCATCCATACTTAACTCGAGATAATGCCCATTGAATTCCATGACAGTTTTCCCTGAGTAAACAGCGTTGAGGGTTGTACTCATGATTTTAATGTAAAAAACACACTGAATAAAGTCTATTGGTGTAACGTTGTACCAACATAACCTGATTGGTAGCTGAAAATATTTAATTTGAAGTCATGGAACATTTCCTGTTCCTCCTGACTTCAGGTTCTGAGGCTCCCTAGGCCTCCTTTTTGCCCTGGAAAAGTCTTTGGAAGCTTCCAGACATCAGGTGTTGGGGAGAGGGAAGAGCCTTTAATAGTTTAAAAAAAATCACAGCCAGTGGGTCCGATCACATGAGCAGCAGTTTGGAGGCAATCTTTTACTATTAAAGCCCCCCGCCATGTTCCAAAGTTCCCAAAGGCTTCCCTGTGGCAAAGATCAGCTCTAGGGAGCCTTGGAACCTGAAGAGTGGAAAAGGAAACTTTCTATTACTTTAAATGAAATGTTTCCTGCACCTGATCTGGTTTACACCAGCACAAAGTCACTCAATGGGATTTCACCCACTATTTCATACAGGAATGGGTAAAAATATGAATGATAGCTAACTGGGCCTTGAGTTTCTGACATTACCCATAACTTCACTTGAACAGTCTATATAGGATATACAGTAGTTATATATTAATTTTATTTCTGTTCAGTTTATTTCCCAAGGAGTAAGTGGCCTAAATGTACAAAAATAGATAGTGTACAGATGCTTTCACTACACACCATGCATTATTATATGATTGAGAGACAGTATGTATAGTGGATATAACACTGGATTAAAGGCGAGATCAAACAAGCATATAGCTCACTATTTGACTTGCTTTTGGTATGATGTTTTCCAATGACCACATGAATTTTAAGTAAGAGCAATCCATCCCTCTTTTGTTACCTTTTCTGTTCCTTTCTGGCACAGAGTTAGGGCTGCAGTTTATTTGGTGTGATTGGGAGCACTCGTAATTAGCCCATTCTGCAGTTTGTGTGGTTGTTTAATTTGCTCCCAAATAGAGCTGTGGACAGAGTCCTCTTCAGTGATAACCTTGTGATATATGCGGCGGGTCGTGACAATAGAAAGCATGGCAGAGAAATCCTTTCCTCTATTTCAATTTTCTCACAATTCTTTTTAAAAATATTCTCCTAAGTGACAGAGCACTGTTTCAGGTAAAAGGGAGTATCCAGGCTAGGCAGATGTGTTGCTGTAGCATTATGCCACTTACTAAATTAAACAAACAAACAAGAGACAGCTCATGGAATGACAGCTACAACAAAATGCAAGGAAAAGGGCAAGAGAGGGGTGTCAATTATTGAAAGGGGGAGAAATTAGAATGATCTGAAGTGCTCTTTCGATCTGAAGTGCTCTTTCTCATGGGAGAATAAATGTGTCCTGTGTGAATGGAAGGATCGTTGAAGTATAAAATAAAATAGATTGTACCAAAGATAAAATACTTTAAAACATTTATTTATTTTATTTATTTTTTGGACTTAGATCGTTGAAGTATAAGATAAAATAGATTGTACCAAAGTTAAAATCCTTTTAAACATGGCCTGGATTGCTCCAAATTCCCCCATCTAGTTGCACCCTAAAATTTAGGAGAGCTGAGTCAAGGTCCTGCTCATTCATAAATATTTATGGGCTTACAATGGTTAGCCACTCCTAGAATATCTCACCTATCTTGAAAACCTACTGAGATGCCATAGGTCAGAAATGTAGCAACAACAATGCTTGAGATGTCTGCCTTAGCAATTTGTAGTACAGCCCTGGATTGCTCCAAATTCCCCTATCTAGTTGCACCCTAAAATTCAGGAGAGCTGAGTCATTCATAAATACTTACGGGCTTACAATGGTAAGCCACTCCTAGAATATCTCACCTATCTTGAAAACCTACTGATGTGCCATAGGTCAGAAATGTAGCAACAACAATGCTTGAGATGTCTGCCTTAGCAATTTGTAGTACAGCTTTTTATTTACTCCTCTTTGATTACTAAACAATTAATTAATTGGTTTAAAGGGCAAACAAGATAGATCACTGATCAGTAAGATGTTTGACTAATTATATGACTCGTGGTCTGAGAGGGGTTTTAAATGGACTATTGTGCTCTGTTGCTTTAAATGTGTTTTAATATTGATATTATCATTTTAATATAGTACTTCTTTAATTATTTTTAATATGTGTATACTTACTGTTTTAGCTTTTAAATACTGTTTTAGTGATGAAAACCGCCTTGGGTCCTTTTGAGGAGAAAGGTGGCATAGAAATATTTTAAATAAATAAATAATAGATGTTTTCACTCAGTTTTAAGTTTAACAAGCTTTCTTACATGGTTGGTTGTAACTTCTTAAAAAGTTAAGCTAAAAGTTGACAAAAATGTAAATTCAGCTTTCCCAGTCAGTCTTCTACATTATATGTAATTATACAGGAATAAATAAGCCCTTCCTAACATACAAATTTATAACCCAATTAGATATTTATGACAGCAGAAATTTGTGAGAAATATTCTTTGAGAATTCTGGATGTGTTTCAAGTACTGCTAAGTTTCCTGAAGTGACAATCATAATTTCTTATTAAAATGAATGCATCATGATGACATTTCTTTATTGGAATAAATGTGTGTTTTAAAGACATATATTAAAAAGCACTACTTAGTGTTTCCTCATTCAACCCATTTTCTCATTTCTATCTTGATCTGTTTTCAGATGTTTTCACTATTTATACTGGAGACATGTTTCATATACTTCTGTTAGAGGCTGATGAATAAAATTTGCAACAAGAGGAATCTTATTTGGGAAAAACAGTTTTCATTTACCACCTGATTATAAATATATTCTTTTTGGGTATTCCAACACACTTCTAGTGCCCTGCCTTGTATAAAATGATTCATATTAGAAAAGGTTAAAAAAAAGATGTGACGTAACTATGGGTATTTTTTTGATTCTGAAACATTCATTCATTTAGACAATTTGTATCAACACCTCTATCACAGGATAGCAGGGACACTTGCACACCAAGTACAACATTGCCTTCAGGTAAAGTAGGAGGAATTCAGTGCCAGTTGGTATGCTTCTGCATCTTACAGAAATATTCACTGCATTTGAAAATAAAAAATACTGGTAAATTTATTTACTACGTATTTATATTATTCATATGCCACCTTTCTCTCCATAAGGGACCCAAGGCAGCTTACAACAATTAAAACCATAGAATAATAACAAGTTAAAATGCCATACAAAACTATCTATATAATAAATAAATAAATAAGTAAGTAAATAAATAAATAAATACCTGGGTCTGCCAAGCGGATGAAACTTGCCAACCCTGTTTACAACTTTCCCAAGTGCCAATGCTATGTATAGAAGGTTTACTCTGGAGATCCAATTATCTCTGGATTCTAACAAAATGTGATATGCGATTCTGAGGGAATCAAAATGACCCATTTTGGGTTGACAGTTAACGAAACCATACAGGAAGGAAGAGGCTCAGACAAAACTTTGGGACTTTGTATACATCATCTAAGCAGATAATACAAGTGTGTGTGTGTGTGTGTGTGTTTCAGACAAAACTTTGGGACTTTGTATATGCATCATCTGAGCAGATAATACAAGTGTGTGTGGGGGGGGCAGTTCAATTTTTATTACAGTACCTCCAGATTGCAGATGTGGGTGGATGGTTAGCCACAGTGGCTTACCTAAAATGCCCATGATACATTATCAAGGGATGGGGCGTTCTGGTTCATATGTGATAACACTCTCTTAGGTCAGACAAGAATTACTATAATGCAGTCTTTAAAAAAATACAGAGAGAGAGAGAGACATAGTTGTATTTAGTTTCCTTCCCTCAGCAAGCCTCAATTTCTCACTCACCCTTCCCAAGGAGCTCTTTCAGTTGTTTGGAATGAAGATTCTTGGCTTTTATGAGCACCACAAGCAGACGGTTTGCGGCAGGCAGGTAGCTGATGGAAAGCAGAACCTCTCCATAGCCTGTATCTGGCTCCTGCAAATCAGAGAGAGAGAAAGTGGCAAGGAATACATCAGGCTTTTTTCCTGCCTTACTTCCTGCAGAGGAGACAACCAAGCAATACTAGAATGCTGATAATAAAAGAAGACCCAAAGGACTATAGAGTACAAATCACTATTACTGTATCACTCCTTCGTTTTGCCACAGAAACATAAGGGCTCTTTTGTGCAACATCTATCTCCCACTACACTGAATCATGCTCTTTTTGTTTACATCAGCCCACAGTGACTTTAAACAAATTAGATTTTTAATAACAAAAATAGAAGTAATGAACCACTTCTGTTCCCACAACAGGCTGGCTTTGGACCTGGAGAGAACTGTACAGCGTAAGTCCTTCATTTAATGCAACATATTGAGGATGGCTTTGAGACTGCTAGGGCAGCTTTTGTTGACTATTGACTGCTGATAGCACTGCTCATTATCAAGCACTACTGCAAAAATTCTATAATCTAACCAAGAATTATAAACTAGCTAAGATAATAGCAGTCCTTTTGCAAAAATCATAGATTTTGTTGTTAACTTTCAAGGACAACAGAGCTGATGGTGGAAGACTATTCCAGGGCTGTGTGTCCTGGGTTCTATTTTAACATCTGTCCTAATGATCAACCATTTCCTCAAGGCACCAAAAGTTTTATTTATGTTGATGATCTCACATTTGATGCTCAGTTTATCTGACTCCATAAAAAGAGAAGGTGAGCAAAACAGAATAGGATATGAATTCGTTTTGAAGAAGAAACAGAAAAGAAAGAGATTGCAATGCCTATTTAGTAAAAACTGAGTTGTTATCTTTGTTGCAGCACTTCACTTTTTTCTATCATTTGTTTATATGTAGAAATATTTAGAATATTTCTACATTGTTCTCATCAAAATAAATTGTATGTTTATGATTGCCCCAGAATGATGGTAGAAAACTCATGTTCAACAGAGAGGTCTTTGTATTCACGAAGGCTTGCAAGGCCGGGATCTAATGGTTGTACTGGGTTTTTCGGGCTCTTTGGCCGTGTTCTGAAGGTTGTTCTTCCTAATGTTTCGCTAGTCTCTGTGGCTGACATCTTCAGAGGACAGTGGGTTTTTCGGGCTCTTTGGCCGTGTTCTGAACAACCTTCCTTAGGAAGACAACCTTCCGAAACATGGCCAAAGACCTGAAAAACCCACAACAACCAAGAGAGGTCTTTGTTAGAGAAAACAAATTATGTCAGGGCTGGCTAGATAGCTCAGTGATCTAGAGGTTGAGAGTTTGATTCCCCACTGTGTATCCAAGAAGAAGAGTCAGCCTATGTAGCCTTGGGTAAACTGCAGAGTTCCAGAAGGCCCCCACTCCTGAAGAAGGGAATTGTAAACCATTTCTGAGTACTGTACATTATACCTAGAAAACCATGGAAAGGGGTGCCATAAGTTGAAATAGACTCAAAAGCATGCAATTGTTATTAATTGTCTCCTCCATCAAATTAAATGGAGCCCAATGTTTTTACTTTAGGACCAAAAGTAGATCTTCAAAGAAGTATTGTGCTACTATGGCTTCCCCATGTCTTGTTTTTTACTCTGTCCTGTAACATAAATTGAAAACCACTACTGATGACATTTGATGCCTGGCATTCCATCTCCTACTCTTGATTTTTAAAAAAGCTGTTTCGGTAAGCAGATTTGGGGTGTCCTTGGGGCATCAGAATATGAGATAGATCAATGTGGCCGATGAAACATTTCTCAATCTCTGGGTAATCTGCAATAAAATCCCAAGGATTCCTGAGTATGACTCTGTAGACTCTTTGGAGGCACTTACACTGCCCTATGGAAGCACTGCCTGACAGTGCCCCCTCACAATACATTCTGCAGCACATCTACATGCTTTGTGGCGTCCTATTCCATTGCAGAGTTTTTAGAATGGATACTCAGATGTGCAGCATTTGTGACATGTCAGTAAAACACAAACAATTATCTACTTTTCTTTCAAGCTGTCCCCATGCCAATATCTAAACAGCAAGCCCCAAACTGAATTTTTAGAACAGAGAATATTGTATCCTCCTTCGTAAAGATATAATTTCACGTGGATGGATGGTACAGATGGGGGACAATGATGTTTCCTCCACTGAGAGACCAGATGCATTTTCTTTAAAGGGTTAACTGCCAGGCAACATTTTGGTGCCTGGAATAACTTCTGCTTCACACTTTTTAAAAAGAAACCAACTACCCAGGGAAAACTCAAAATGGAGAGTGGTTTTGTGTCTTCAGCAGGAGTTCTGAATGTGGTCGACACATCCATCTTTCTGAAGCCTGTATAAACTGCATATGAAATATTGTCCCTTGGAAATTGTCTAGAGCATGACTTTGTAGAGGGATGTGCTTTTGTTGTAACAGGAGATCATAAAATCATAGACTCATAAAATCATAGACTCATGGTACCTATAAGGCCATCGAGGCTAAGCCCCTGCTTTTCTTCAGTGATTTAAAGCAACTGTGGCCGTTCTTTGAAATGGAAGCTTTGACTGTATATTTCTGAATAAGGGAAGAACCAGAGTGTATCTGCACAACATAGCGACAGCGGTTTGATACTATCATGACTCAGTCCTATAGGATTCTGGGGGGATTGTAATATTTTAAAATCCTATGCTGTAATTCAGGAATCTTCCCTCTAGCTGAGGATTCTAAATAACTCACCAGACTTCAAATCCCATGGTTCCATAAGACAGAACCATGGCAGATAAATAGGATCTAAATCCTATGATGGTACAATATTGATGTGCTGCCAAACTACAAGCAAGATGTTCTTCTAAGAATTTTATCAGACATTTCAACCACCTCAAAAAACAGCTGTTGTTTTTCATCCTTGAGAGTGAGGCCAAAAATAGATATTCTATCCAGGCCATGATCAGAGAGGGGAAAGCCTTAACTAATGAAAGTATCTGAGAGTCACAGCAAGAACTACTCTCAACTTGGAGAGTATGTGAATTAGTTTGCCATGTTTGGTGATTCATGTTAGAGATTTAAGCATGGGATTCCTTTGACATCTGCTGTTATAGCCTGAAAGATTACCTCAGTCAACTCTTTCTGACCTTAATGGGGTTTCAGATCTAGCTATGCTTATGTATAGACATGGGGATGAATAAAAAAAAAAAGGATTGTAATATTCTTGAAAAATCGCTGATTTGTTAAATATCCATCCGTTCATATTCGTCAGTTCCAGAGACCCTTTCGTTAAATATCCATCCCTCCATATTCGTCAGTTCCAGAGACCCCGAAGAATACAAAGGGATGAATATTTCCCAATTTTTATTCTTCCCCCATACTAAGAAAGGGAAGGCTAGCCTATGGCTTTCCCATTCTGCTGTTACCGCCGCCATCTACTGCCGCCTGCTGCTGGCGCCATCCATCAGCCATGGCCTGCCATAAGGGACATTGGCTGCCCTTTGCAAAGATGGCAGCTGCAGCTTCTCTTAGGCAGGAAAGCTGCAGCCACCATCTTTGCAAAAGGCAGCCTAAACACCCTTAAGGCAAGCCATAGTGGTGGAGGCCAGCCATAGTGGCTGAGGCCATTACAGTAAGCGATGCTGCATGGTGACTGTGGAGACCACCATGGCACAGGCAGACTGCCACAGTAAGCGATGCTGGATGGTGGAGACCACCATGGCACAGGCAGACTGCAGCAGCCAAGGTAGGGTGGTGACAGGAATAGTGGGAAGGGGACAAAGGGGAAGGCTGTAGGGGTGTAGAGGTCAGCTTTTTTTAAGACTCCCCCACAAACCGAAAATATATCCGTGCTTCATAGGTTCATGGGGAGGATATTTGCACTTTGTGCTTCATCAACTTTGACAGATCATGAAGCACGACAACTCTTAGACTCCCCCACAAACTGAATATATTCGTGCTTCATCGGTTCATGGGGAGGATAATTGCACTTTGTGCTTCATCAACTTTGATGGATCATGAAGCACGACAACTCGCCAAAATGGCAATTCTTCCCCATCTCTACGTTTATATAAAGTTTGTTTCTGCTCATAAGTGAAATTATTAAGAAGAGGGATTTGTTTTCCCCAGAGAAGCATATTCTGAGGTAGATGGGCATCAACTGCCAGTTTGGTGGTGTGTAGCAGTTTGATTTTCAGCCAAGCAGGTGTGCGTTGGTTTCCAGCCCCACCTCCTCCAGCAGGCACCCACTCAGAGGCAGCACCCTGACTTCTCTACCCCGCCTCTTCCAGGCTCTGCTTCTGAGTGGGTGACTGCCAGGGGAGACAGGGCTGGGAAAAAAAAAAGCAAACTGGCACAAACTGGCACAAACTGGCAAACTAGTGGTTCTTTCCCATCTAAACTGTTTTGCTGAAAAAATGAACTGGCACTAACTGGCAAACTAGTGGTTCTTTCCCATCTCTATTCTGAGGTGCTTTTTAAATCTGTGAAAAGTCAAAATGGTTGCCTCTTTTGCTTCTCACATGAGGCCGGCTGTTCAGTGGACAGCACTAGAATGTCTACAAAAATTGCACACACTCTTATAAAGTAGAATTTTCAGTCAAATTACTGATTCCCCCCAAGTGAGGCAGACACCACCGGTATCAGATACATGGTACTGTGTGCACCATGTAGTTTTTATTCTCCCTATAATATAATGTGCATCCCCAGGAGCTTTGAAGGTCTTTGTCTTGACATGAGTGATAAACTAAGATTCTGCAGCTATGAAATGTGTGTGCATATAGTATATGCGTGCCCTCTCGTCCTTTCTCTCAGGCAGTAAAATGTCTTGAGCCAGCTTGAAATGTGCTCCATGTATCAAATTTGCCTGCCCCATGTTCTGCTGCCCCAAGGACACCCAAACCTGCTTACTGAGACAGCTGTTAATGTCATGACAGACCCAATAATATGCTATTTCAGTTACACTAATGAGCCTATCCATACACAAGCCAGCAGGACAGAGTACAAAATGTGACTTCTACTCTTGTGATGCCTGCAGTTTTTTCCAGAGGTGGCAAGGATTGTTCTGAACTAGCACAGCTATAATAAATGAATAGCAGGTTAGCTATGAGCTAGGCTTGTGCTACAGGAGAGTTACAAAGATAGATCTGGCATTTTCAGAAATCCTGCCAGAAAGACATGTAAAGCTTTAAACAAATTCTAACAAGCTAGTTTTGGAAAAGCACTGACAAATACAGTCAGTCTTTCTCTGATCTACTCCCTCTCGCTCTTTCCTACCCCGACTCCTGATTAATGATTCAAGACTTCTTTTTCAGCTCACTGTATAATGGCTGACTCTCTGAAGTCCCCAATGACGCAAACCCAGCCATCTACGTGTATCTTCTGCAGGAAAAACTGGGGCACAACTGGAGCCTGTTAACTGGCTTTGTTCAGGTTTCCAGAAGTGCTTCTGCCTTGTTGAAGCGTGTGGGTAGCTATGAGGAAGGCCAAGTGAACAAAACATTATTATCAGCCTCTAGATATAATTGGATATTATCTCCTGCACCAGCTCCATACAGGCAGTTTCTTGGCATTCACGGTGTTCCTGGAAACCATCTGCTAAGTTGACAGAGGCCATCTGTTTCAGGGGTGCAATTGGCCACTTACTAGCTCTCTCCCAGGATGAGAAGCAACTGCCCCAGGATGACTGGCAAGCACAGCTCTATTTTGCCAGGCTGGAGAACTACTCTAGAACTATGATAGGTTCCTCTCGAAACTTCTTGTTTGCTTTAATTAATCAATAGACTCACTGTTCCAAGATTCTCATTCATTTCATTCATCACATTGATGCACCTTCTTAGCCATGAAGCTCACTGGGTGATCTTGGGCCAGTCCAAAAAATAATAATGAAATACTTTTTTTTTTTTGTTTCTGACCAAAGGCCTTAACAATACACAATATCTAAAAAGTGGGAAATATTTCCCCAGTTTAAACACAGGTAATTATAACAGTTTGTCACCATCTCTTATGTTATTACCTTCATATACCACCTTTCTTCCTGGGAAGTTGAGGGGATCTCTGTGTACCTCTGCTCATTTTATCTGGACAACAGCCCTGTGAGTTATTTTAGGCTGAAAGATTTCTCCTCCGGCTTTCTCCTCCTCCTGATGTCTTCAGGTTAATCCTTTGCCTGAACAGGGCTCTACTCTGACATTATAAACCCTGCACCATCCAGTTTTCTTCTGCTTTATGGGCAGGAGAGGCAGCAGGCCACTATCCTGGCAATGGGGCAGCATTGTTTCCCAGGACAGGGCACAGAATATTGACTTCCTAAGCTTTCTTTCACCCCTGAGAATCAGCATGGTGGTAGGGAAAGGCTAGAAGAGCCATGGAATGGGCACTCTATTCCAATCAGTGAAATAAGTGGGTTTAAAAAAACAGGTATTTTCATTTCTAGTTATCCCTCCCACCCAAGATGACAGTCAGATTTTGAGAGATGTCCAGGAAGCACTAGCTCTTGAACAGCACTGAAGTGGAATAAATAAATAATAAATAATTGCCAGTGATTTACACATTTTAATTGGCCTCTTTCACACCAGTGGATTGGAAACCAAGTTGGAAGCTTGTAATAATTCATGGCAGGCAGGCAGCCTTTGAGTTCTATTGTGAATCCACTTTACGCTCATAAGTTCTCAGCAACCCTTTTCATTGTGTGGGTTAATGGATATATTTGTTGATTATGCCGTCCTCAGACAGCTTGTGGAAAATCTTACAATAGCCACAGAGGAAATTGGGCCCAGGACTCAAAAGCCTTCAGGCAATGTCCCCATTTTGGTTCAGTGTCATCTACATAGGGACATGAAGCCAGCCCTCCTATTTGATACAGTGAGACAGATGCCTCAGGGCAATTTGGGGTGTCATAAAAACATAGGCAGTAAGGGACACCCTCCAAAATTTGGAGTGAAAGGGATTCTCCTCCTGAATTTGTAAACACAAGCTAGTGTAAAAGGACAGCAGCTGGTTTTTGGCTTTTTAAACTTGTTGTTGCATTTTTAATGCCAAGTCTGACTTTGTGTGTGTGCGTGTGCTCTGTTGATCTGTCTCAGGTGGCAAAATGTCACGGTCCATCCATCCACACACAGCCTGTACACACCTAATAAGTATAACTGGCATCCACAAACTCTGTCTGTAATGATAGGATACCTTGTCAAGTGCTTTCATTTTCTCAGACTGTACTTTTCCATACACTTCGCCCACATCAGCCAAGTTCAGCTTAAGTTCTCCAACGATGCTGTGTCGGGAGAACTTGTCACAATTCCGGAGGGTAAGTGTCAGCATGCCCTTGGGTAACTCCTCCTCTTTGACTGGAAACAGCAACGTTTCTTCCCAGACAACATGGGGCTGGTTCTTCTTCAACACAGTCTGGGCTTCTGTAATGCCAGACTGGCTCACCAAAGTGCCAAGGATGTAGCAATCGCAACTGTTGTTGTGGTCAACTGTCATAGTTTCATACCTAACTGTTAAAATCAGAAGAGAAAGTAGGATTGCACTTAAATTCAGTATCAAAACACTTCCTTCTTGACAGTGCAGTTTTCTACTTCAGCATTTTTAAATTTTAGTTTTAGAAGTTTGAAACTTTTCCTTAGGCAAAGAGAGTGGGCTATTTTGAAGGCTGGCCCCCTCACTGTATTCCAATGGCTTCTTGAAGTGGGAGAGGGGCCCAGAATCAGCCCTTCAGTACAACAGCAGGCGAGGCAGGGGGACTTACCATGACTGATATCTCCACTATAGATTATCAGGCTGAGAGTAGTGGTGTGTTTTCAGAATATATTGAATGGGTCTTTCTACTTTGGCTTTCTTCCAGCCACAAACTATTTGGACCCCTCTCTCAAATTCTGTGTTACTGTGTTTGCATAGGATTTTTGAATGGTGGTGATGTAAACCGCTTTGAGATCAGTGCACCTGAGTGAAGGTGTTGGTTATCACAATGATAATACTGATGATGGTAAGTAACAGTAGCTGGTATGCACATTTCTGTGGTTTTATGGTGAGCTGAAAACTTCAACACCAGTGAGAAAGGGCCAACCCAATGTACAGAAGTATTGTTATTCCTGGACCTTGAATATCTGGATATAGAACCAAAATCCCAGATGAGCTTGAAACTCATGGGCCTGATGCAGATATAACATTCACATTTGCCATGGCTGTTGTCCAGCCTGGAAATTTTCTATGTCATCTGAACAAGAAAATTATCAATTAATGGGCAAAATCCTGTTGCATAAGTTTGTTCTGGTGTAACCTGGACTGGGTGCTGGGAATCATGCTAATTAAATACTTCCTATCCTCCATACCCCAGTTTTAGTTTCCAAGGCCCCCTAGGGTTCCCTTTTGCTTTGGGGAAGTCTTTGTGAGTCTTGAGATGGGGGCAGGAAGAGTGAAAAGTCACTGCTGCAGGAGTGGCAGTGGTCCTTATCCTAGTGGTGGCAATTTGGCATTAATTTTTGACTTTTAAAGACTTCTCCCCTCCATCATTGGTCCTGAGCCCTAGGAAGCCTCAGAACCCAAAATGGGCTGGGCTGGGAGACAGGAACCATTTAGTTTATGTAAAATAAATGTTTTTGTTGCCTGATCCAGGTTATGGCAGGCACAAAATTACACAACAGGATTTTGCCCAAGTTTTATGATCTGATTCTGGTTCTATATTATCTATGGAAATCCTTAAGTCCTATTTTCTGAGTTCACAAAGTCCATAAAACTGTGGCTTAAGAAAAATGCTTGAGATCCATGCATTTGTTATTTTAATGTACACAAACACATTAGGCATGTGAGTTAAAATAATATACCAGCTCTGCAGGATTTTAATGTATGGCAACAAAACAGGATATACAAAATTCCTGATATATCTGATTACTACTCATTTTCATGAGAAGCTGTAATATTTAGTGGCTTTCATATAAAAAGTTACTAGGATTTATAAGGTTTATTGGCCTCTTACCTTCGAGAAAAGCAACACACAATGCATTTTTCTGTTGGTTGTAGCAAAGAGAATAGTGAATTTCTGGGACCTGGTTGCAACCAGCAGCCTTCTCAGGACTCAGACGCTCAGTGACGCAGACATCCATCATTCCACCTGAAAACAAACATTTTAATGAAAGAATGCCTCCCATTCCAGCTAGTGTAATTATTAGCTACCCTGCTTTATTTTAACTCTTTGATACCATTACACAAAGTTACCTTTCTATACACTTGTTGCTGTTGTTATGTGCCATGAAGGGGGAACCAACCTAACAGGGCTTTCAAAGTTATAAGTATAAGAGCCTCGTGGCGCAGTGGTTAAATCGCTGTACTGCAGCTAAAACTGTGCTTACGACCTGGGGTTCAAATCCCAGGTAGCCGGCTCAAGGTT